TTGATAGATGAATGGATAAAGAAGTGGTGCACACATGCTCACACACACACACACACAGAATATTACTCAGCCCTAAAAGAATGAGGTTATATCATATGTGACAACATGGATGGATCTAGAGGGTATTTTGCAAAGTGAAATAAGTCAGAGATACAAAGATGGGTACCATCTGATTTCAGTTATATGTGCAATCTTAAAAAAAAAAAAAAAGGGCGCCTGGGTGGCGCAGTCGGTTAAGCGTCCGACTTCAGCCGGGTCACGATCTCGCGGTCCGTGAGTTCGAGCCCCGCGTCGGGCTCTGGGCTGATGGCTCAGAGCCTGGAGCCTGTTTCCGATTCTGTGTCTCCCTCTCTCTCTGCCCCTCCCCCGTTCATGCTCTGTCTCTCTCTGTCCCAAAAAAATAAATAAACGTTAAAAAAAAAAAACATACAAACAACAGCAAGAAACCAAAAATAGACCCGTAAATCAGAGAAGAAATTCATGATTGCCAGAGGGAGGGAGTAGGGAAGGGCAAAATGGGTGACAGGAGTGGGAGATTCAGGCTTCCAGTTATGGAATGAATAAGTCATGGGGATAAAAGTTGCAGCATAGGGAAGATAGTCAGTGGTATTGTAAGTGATATGTGGTGACACAGGGTAGCCACACTTGTGGTAACCACAGTGTAATGAACAGAGTTGTCAAGTCACCGTGTAAAAAAAAACAGAGGAGTCAAAATGTGAGTAAGTAACAATATACTATATAAATAGCCAAATATATTTGAAAACAAATGATGCATGGTAGAAAAGCACAATGATGGAAAATTTAAAACTCAGTGTCCTGTTAAGATAATAACCTGGAGGGGCACCAAGGTGGCTCAGTCAGCTGAGTGCACTGCTCTTGATTTCAGCTCAAGTCATAATCCCAGGGTTGTGGGATCGAGCCCTGCATCAGGCCCCACACTGGCCACGGAGCCTGCTTAAGGTCTCTCTCTCTCTTTCCCTCTCTCTCTTTCTCTGCCCCTCCTGCTTGCACTCTCTCTCTCTCTCTCTCTCAAAACTAATTTAAAAAAAGAAAATAAGTTTGATGCAGATGGAGATATGAAAGGATGATAACTCTCAACAATTGCCCAGAAGAGAGAACCAAGTTTGCAGAGATTTTTTTATGTTTGCAGAGATTTTTTTATGTTTATTTATTTATGACCAGAGAGAGAGAGAGAGAGAGAGAGAACACATACATGAGCAGGGGAGGGACAGAGAGAGAGAGGGAGATAGAGGATCTGAAGCGGACAGAGGATCTCTGCACTGAGAGCAGAGAGCCCGAAGCAGGACTCGAACTCACAACCTGCGAGATCATGACTGCGCCAAAGTCACATGCTTAACTGTGACTGAACCACCCAGGTGCCCTGAGAGAACAAAGTTTAAAAAGATTATAAAATGAAAGGAAGGTTAAGAGATATGGAAGATAGAGAGATTTGCTTAAATTTAATTTGAGAAGTGAGAAACAGATTTGACGAGATGATGGCTTAATCCTCAGATTCAAAACCTCTGGTAAATTCCCAGCAGAGTTAGTAAAAGGAAAATCATGCATAGATGCAATATTATGAAAGTTCGAATACCAAATACAGAGTATGATCTTATTGTAGTTTCAGACTGAAAGATGACGTGGGAAACCCGGAAGCCAGAAGAACTAGAATAATTTTCTTTTTTTATTTTTATTTTATTTTTATTTTTTATTTTTATTTTTTTTTCCAACGTTTATTTATTTTTGGGACAGAGAGAGACAGAGCATGAACGGGCGAGGGGCAGAGAGAGAGGGAGACGCAGAATCGGAAACAGGCTCCAGGCTCTGAGCCATCAGCCCAGAGCCCGACGCGGGGCTCGAACTCACGGACCGCGAGATCGTGACCCGGCTGAAGTCGGATGCTCAACCGACTGCGCCACCCAGGCGCCCCAAGAATAATTTTCTTAACAGTAGTGAGGGGCGGGGGGAAATCCCAACTAGTTACTGACCCGGAACTATAAACTCAGTAAAAATTTCCTTTAGGAGTAAAGAAGAATTTAAAATATTTTTAAAAAACTGAAGTGTTTTTGGACAAAACAAAGATGATTTACTACCACAGGACTTGTTTCAGTCAGTTATTGCTGCATAACAAAGGACCCCCAAACTGAAACACTGTCTGCTGGAACAAGTCTATTTGATTTTATTATTTTTTTAATGTTTATTTATTTTTGAGAGAGAGAGAGAGAGAGACAGAGTGCGAGCGGGGGAGGGACAGAGAGAGAGGGAGACACAGAATCCGAAGCAGGCTCCAGGCTCCCAGCTGTCAGCACAGGGCCCGACGCAGGGCTTGAACTCACAAACTGTGAGATCATGACCTGAGCTGACATTGGACGCTCAACTGAATGAGTCCCCCAGGCACCCTGGACCAAGTCTATTTCAGACTGTGGGTCTCCACCTTCAGACTGTGGGTCTCCACCTTCACTCTCTTTTAAACTGTGGGGTAGCTTTGCTTCAAGGTCCAGGTCTGCAAGCCGACTGACAGTCTTGCTTCATGTTCTTACTCTTCCAGGACTCATAGGTGTGTCTTTTCATGGTTAGGGCAGAAGGGTAAGAGGGAAACCTCCTTGAGCCAGCCTACACTTGTGCTCGCATGGTATCAGCCAGCTGCTAGCAGAATGAGTAAATTGTGGCACTGATGCAAGGAAAACCGTGTGCAATGACAGTAACCAGAGCATCACGCTTGAATGTGGATGACTCACAAACATGATACCGAGCCAATAGAAAGTCTCCTAAGAAGCCGTAATGTGTGATTCCATTTATAGAAATTCAAAAGGGAGGCCACCCATGCAGCCACTATCGGGATGCATCCATTTATGGTAACTATCAAGAAAAGGAACAGAATCATAACCATGAAATTCAGAATAGTGACTTCATCGGGAGTGGAGGGGCAGGGGTGGAGGGGGGAGAGTGCAGGCATCGATATGTATTGATAATATGGCTGAGTGATAACATTCTGTTTTTTAATCCGAATGGTGTAATAGTTGTTCCATTTTTTGTGTTTTTAATAGTGTTTTAGATCTTCATGGTTCTGTATTTCAATATATAATAAAAGCCAATTAGTGAAAAATGGTGTCTGGGTGAGGCAACCTGTGCCTTCAGTCAGCTTGGAGAGACAGGTTTGCAAGGTGCCACACGTGATGTTCACGACAGATTCAGTAAGATAGATATTTTCCATTTGTTCCGATTAGTTAGCTGAAGGTCACTGAGTTGAGGCGATCTGGGTCCCAGGGGGCAAGGCTGGGCGCTGAGGCAAGCCTGACCTCTCCAAGGAGCCTTGACGTTCGTACTTTTCCTTCAACCTTCAAACCTGCACAGCCGAACCCTTCCCCCAGAGAACACAGGGTGCGTCCTGCACTGTTTTGTGTGTCCTCACTTTTATTGAAATCACAGCTGTCTAGCCAGCTGCGTAGCGAGGTCCCAGAATTCCCAGACCGAACCAGACGGGAAACCCAAAGCTCACGATCCAAGCCCGCACAATTTCTGGCAATCTGCACACGTCAGGATGGGCAGCCTGCTGGCTGGGTTGTGGGGCAGTCACGTTTCCCTTTCTGTCTCGCTCAGGAAGCGGGTGTTCTGTGCCCTGGCGCCCTCCACAAGAAGAGCTAACTTTTGGGGCGCCTGGGTGGCTCCGTCGGTTGAGCATCCGACTTCGGCTCAGGTCACGATCTCACGGTCCGTGAGTTCGAGCCCCGCATCGGGCTCTGGGCTGTTGGCTCAGAGCCTGGAGCCTGCTTCCCATTCTGTGTCTCCCTCTCTCTCTGACCCTCCCCGTTCATGCTCTGTCTCTCTCTGTCTCAAAAATAAATGTTTAAAAAAAAAATTAAAAAAAAAAAAAAAAAGAAGAGCTAACTTTCCATCACAGTCCCTTCGGCCCTGAAGAGGGAGTGAGCTCGCCGTTGTAGGTGAAAGTGAAAATGGAATCCAAAAAATTCTTTCCAGTTTTGGACCCTGATGGGCGTCTTCCTAAGTTTTAGTAAAACATCAAGTACGAAGCAGTGACAGAAACTGGAGACAGTGACAGGACTTTTCAGGCCATTACGTTTCAGTGCATTGTGGGAGTTAAAATCCTGGTCCAGAATCGGGGTGGGAATGTAGTTCTGTTGATTGGACTCACACGGGGCTGGTGGCTGATTTGTGGGACGTGATTTTGGGTGCCTCTATTACAATACACGCCCCATAGGACTTCAGAGGCTCCTGTTCCGGCTGTCCCCCCAAAGCTCTCTTACCAGCTTGTTTGGAGATGCTGGTCTCTACTAAACTGACTTGAAATTCCTAATATTTAGATTCTTTTTTGGACCAAGAGTCATCATTTTCAGAATTTTGTTGAAATTAGGATGACCGTTTCATTTGTTGTCCGAATTGGAAGTGTTTTGAGAGCGAAACGGGATTATTAATCATTTTACCATGAAATGGGGTTATTAATAATTGCACCAAGAAAATTACAGCTATCCACGAATGGTATCCTGGTTAAGACCGGCCCGCGTCTTCTCTCGCTGGCCCCCGTTGTAACGTCAAAGGTCATCGTGAGCGGGTGTTGCCTGGAAGGCACAGAACGTAAAGGAGTTTGTCCTGTTCTGTTTTACTCCGCGTTCTTCGAGATTGTGGTGGTTTAATTAAGCATTTTCAATCGTGGTTTATATTTTCGTTTAGATATTGTTAACGAGAACAGCGGAGGAGAACGTACGTGTGCTTATTAAGGATAGCGTAATGCAACTCCTTGATACGTTCCATCACTGGCTGCGTTTTCAACACACTTTGCTTGTGTCTGTTCAAAGTGAGCATTCTCAGGATGCAGGTTATTGAACGTATCCCTGGGAACAGGAACTCTTCATACATTCAGGGGCAGACGGAAGAATCCCGATGCCAGTCAAGAGGGCCTCAGCACACAAGAGCTCCCTCACCTGTGCAAGCGTGGGGACCCCGTGTCCATCATTTGACCCGGTATTGCCTTTGTTCCGCAGCATCCATCGCGTCCACCTGCAATGACCCAGGCCTGCCTCAGAACGGCACCCGCTACGGGGATAGTAGAGAGCCGGGGGATACCGTCACCTTCCAGTGCGACCCCGGATATCAGCTCCAAGGACAAGCTAAAATCACCTGTGTGCAGCTGAATAACCGATACTTCTGGCAGCCAGACCCTCCCACGTGCATAGGTATGGTACAGCAGAGAACAGACATGTTCTGTTGCGGAACGCACGCACGCCACTCTAAACGTTGCTCCGTAAATGTGTTCGTTCTTCAGAAACATGTCTCACGTGCCCTCTGGTTCACAGACTCCATGGAGATTTCACTGTAAACCTGGAAACTTTTTTTCATGAGGTGAAATAAAGGAAGCGGTTCACTTAATGTGCAGTCGTTGACAGTTACCTAACGTGTCCTAGCCTCAACGGATCTTGTAAAAATGACCGTGACTTAAAAGTCTGGGTGGCTGAAAATTCATAACCCTTCCTTTGCAATTCTCATTTTTGACATAGAACATGCCCTTCAGCAAAACCTACTCAGTAAGAAGTATTTTCTTTTTTTAGATGGTTTTTCCATCATATCAGTATATTTGAACAGAACCCGAAAACTAGAGATTATACTGCTTTGGTCAAAATGAAGATAAAAGGAGAACCATGTTTTTGAAATTCACTAGGATTTTGTAGGTTGACCTTACTCAAAGGATAGCAGTTGGTTTTGCAGACTTCTGTTTGAATAACTGTTCACCGAACTCTATCACAAATACGGTTTTAGGGAAATACATATTTTTGTATAAATAGTAATTACATATAGAGTGTCCCTTCATTCAGTCAGCTGTTTGACCATAAATACCTCTTGCACCTTATTTTTGAAAGGAACCCTGCTAAACTTTATTATTTTAATGAACTGTCACCGTTGGATTTGGACTTCTTTATGATCTGCTTGAAAAATGTAAAATTTAATTAATCTGTGAAGAGAGGAAGTGATCATGAAATGATATGCACATAGTTAATAGGCCATTTTGCATAGGGTGAACTTGAGGGGATTCTGTGATTTAAAATGATTTTTATTGTCATCGACGCAGCAGTAGAGAGATTCTCCGTGGTCCCGGGGAGCTGTGCTACGCAGCTCATAACTTATCACTAAGTACTTAGAGGAGTTTGAAGATGGATGAGATCCGATGGTTCTGCTCATTAGCATGTGCAGCCACGTCGGAGAGCTGCCTTTGTTTACCTGATGCTTTGTGCCGCGTCTACCTTTCATAACTCTGTGGGCACCATGCTGCATTTCATTCCAAGCCGCCTCATCTGGAGATTTGCAAGTTTTCTGCGTGCTTCTTTTTAAGATAGAGTGATTGCTTATAAATGCAACGAGCATTTTAAACCATCACCCTGTTTTTAAATTGGGAACGACTCCCCCCAGTTTGCATGATTTTAATCTCATGGGGGAGCCGTGCATCTATCCATTGAACACTTCGAGATTATTTCTCAGTTGGCATTAATGTAGACATTGGGAAAGTGTGACCGTCTTCCCAACTAATCGATCGCCTTTCGTTAGTTTATATCTTAGTGACATAGTTTTGAGCAATGACTAGATAAGCCAGTTCCCAGCAGAGAAAATAGGCAGCGTTTCTTCTGCATTGAGCATCAGCACCAAGGACGGGCTAAACTCACCTGCAGGTAAATGAATACCAATTATCTTGGCAGCCAGGCCTATGCATATAGGTATTATGTAACGGGAAAATGGAAAATGCGTATATGTGTGTTTGGGAATAAGTGAATCTTACCTTTTCATTACATTTTAAATATATATACATACATACATATATATATACACATATATATATATTTTTTTTCTTTCCCAGAAACGAGGCGTATGTCCTCTGTAAGAAACTTGTCAACTGGGGCATCAGCTGATCATGTCTTAGCACGCACATAAATTCTGTTCTTCTGATTTAAAACAGTTCTTCTTTTATCTTCAAGCCTTTTTTCTCCCCCTTATTAAAAAATAATGCATGTTTAGTTAAGGGGGAAAAGAGGACAAAAAGCTGTCATCTTTCTACTTGGCGGCAAATACTATTAACACAAACATACATAAGTAAGCTTCATAATTATTTTATGTTTATCGAATCTATTTCCAAGATGTTTTTAAGTGACAGCATCCTATTGTGTCAATTGCACTCTGACTTACCAGCGCGAAACAAAATGAGGATCTTTTTGTGCTGTGATGTGCTTTCTGCGTGTTCTTCATGACTGCACGGCATCTGAGTGGATCCGCCCACACGGACTGCTCTCCTCCCCTCTGACTGTGCACTCAGAATCGCTTCAGTCTTCCCCCACCACAAAGATTCCAGAATGAACCCTCTTGTTGCAAAACACACCCCTGATTATTTACAAATGACATATTTCGACACACGTATGTGGTTCTTAAGCTTTTAAAACATTTTTCAAAACTCAGAAGGGTTGCACCAATTTACATTACCAACAGAGCCATGAGTGAGTGTTTATTTTCCTTAAAGGAGGCAAAAAAAAAAAAAAAAAAAAAAAAAAAAAAAAAAAAAAAAAAAAAAAACCCTGTTCTTATTTCTTTTTTTATTGTTATTTTTAATGTTTATTTATTTTTGAAGGAGAAAGAGAGCATGAGCCAGAGGAGGGGCAGAGAGAGGGAGACACAGAATCCGAAGCAGGCTCCAGGCTCTGAGCTGTCAGCACAGAGCCCGACGCGGGGCTCGAACCCACGAACCCCGAGATCATGACCTGAGTCAAAGTCAGCGCTCAACCCAGCGCTGGGTGGCCTGCTAATTTCTTTTTCCCCTTTTATTATTATTAGTGTTTCCCCTCGTATCTTTGTTTCTTTCTCTCTCTTTTCTGAAATCCCTTAGCCTCTCACCTGCTGGCATGTTACTCTTATTTCCACCACCTCGTCTGATGCTGCTGATTTTTGCTGTGGACTGGTTGGATAGCTCCCTTTTTTCACTTATCAAAGGACTCCAATGAATGAGGCACTACCTTTGGGATTTTTTAGCGGATTCCCGAGGACTCCTCTGCAGACCAGAGGACACTCACCACTTTCTTGTTCTGCATGAGGATCTGTCAAAGTCCCCATAATCTCTCTTTCCTCATACAGGCTGCAGTACCTTTTCTCCAACTCCAAGTTGTAAATGGCTCTCAAGAGCAAGAATTTGCCCTAAGTTTGCAGAAATTCATTCTGTGTCATCCTCTTGCCCTGACCCTCAGGGCAGCTCTTTTGAGCCCAGTTATGCCATTTAATGGTGTGAACGCTGAGTTGTATCGAAGCAGAAACACGCATGTGTCTCATTCAAGTGTGCTGCTTCACACCATGAAGGATGGAGGTGCTGTTGGTACCTTAAGGAGGGGATCCTAAGGATTGGGGAAGGAGGCACTGGGGATTGATACAGATTTGTGGGTTTTGTGTCTACGTCCATTCCCTCTGGAGTATTTCCCCAAGCGTCTGGGTCACGTTCTGTACGCAGTGCTAATCCTGTCCAAAATATTTTGCAAGCTTTCAAATTACAACCTAATGAAACTAAACTGAAGAATGCCTGATCCAAAGAGAGAACAAACACAGCCAGACAGCGCTACTTAATTCCCCTGGATGCTCTTGGATAACCTCATTTAAAAAGGCTCCCTGGATCTCTCAGGATAAGACAGGAATGCCTCTTGGTTTCTCTTAAATCAGTACCTTGTGTCACCCCCACATTCTTCCTGCTGGCAACACCCTGGTAGCCAGTGTCCTGAATCTGTCATTCTGCATCTTGCAAACCCTGCATGCGGCGGAATCTTCTAGACCCGGAGGTACCTGCTCCCTCCATCTCAGCGCCACCTGCCTCCACCTGCGCCTTGCCTGGCTTTCCTCTGTCAACGTCCACTTGATTCTGGGAGAGCCGAGTAGACAGTGGTCCCAGCAGAGTTTATTACAGTCACACTCGATGCTGGGGGGACATGTGGGTTTAGCCATTTTTGCAAAAATTATATTACTCTTGAATGTATATCTGAATTTATTATAATACTAGTGATACTAGTTAGAGTTTGCCTTTAGTGAGACTGAAATCATAACAGAAAGTAATGGAATGTGTTACATTTCTTCTTATGGAAAATTAAAGTTTTCAGGAATGTTAAATGAGTATTCAAAGACACAATCGTCACAAAAATTAGAAAGCACGTACACTGGCATTATTCACAATAAAAGTCATCTGTATGTATGTCTCTGTATAAAAGATTGCCAGTTAGGGTGTTTCTTTTTCTACTTACCATTTTTTTTTCTCTTAAATGGATATATGGCCAGTGATGTGAAATAAAAGATATATAGTTTAGGGAGAACATTATAATTTAATTGGGCTGATTTTTTTAAGACAACTTGGTGAGAAATCACTGTATTTGCTGTGAAGAACCATAAATCTTGTATATTCACCCGTGCATCTAAAATGTATACCTGTGAATTTTGCAGTGTTTTAACACCTTTAAACATGATGGAAGATTTGACAGAAATCCTATGTAGTAAATGAAACCATCCTAAACATTTTGAAGTTCAAGAATGAAAATTGGCTTGCCTATTAACACCACTGAACTTCATAATTATTATCTTCCTAACATAAATGTAAACACAGGTAGTGAAAAAGTGATAGGTAAAAACCAAGTAGATTGATGAGTATCATCTAAAGCACTGTTCTCTGATACTAACATGCTCAGCATTGTGATTACATTCTATTTTCCAGATTGATGTTCTGGCTCAGTCTGTTACGGGTTCCATATTCCCAGATGTCACTTAAACTTTGTGTTAGTTTTGTCATTTTGAATTGTATCCCAAACCTTACATATATCAGAGGACTCTGGGGAATACCTGGCATAACGTGTATTCATTCACTCAACAAATATTCCCTGAATACCTGATCACAACTGTGCCAGGTGTTAGTGAGACACAGGTGAACAGGAAGCATGCCTTCTAGAAGAAGTCAGCAATGACTTTGTGAACCTACGACAGGACAGGAGAATCAGCAGGACCATAACGTGACATTCGTGGCCATTTCTTTCCAAGTGTTTCTGTAACGTGTATTGTGTGCATTGTAGGAGTGTGGGGGAGTAAAGTCATCTGTTTAACTGGGTAGAGCTTAAAATCATAGCAACTGAACTTTATTTGTCAACAGTTACAAATCCTCCGTAAAAGCAGGGTGGGACATTGTATGAAATTCATGAACAAGTCCATGAAAAACATACAGACCTCCTGGGCCTTAAATTTTCATCCAGATAATTGTCTACTAACCTGACACATGCTGAGTGCCCTTGATGAATTCTGTGATGTCCTACTTCACCTTGACCAGCATTGTCCCTCTTCCGTGGCAGCTGCGTGTGGAGGGAACCTGACGGGCCCAGCGGGTGTCATTCTGTCACCTAACTACCCGCAGCCATATCCTCCCGGGAAAGAATGTGACTGGAGAATAAAAGTGAATCCAGACTTCGTCATCGCCTTGATATTCAAAAGGTACTGTCTTTTGCTGAATCCCCCTCGAGTAGACTTTTCAAGTGTCACACCGAAAAATTACCTCACATATCCCTTCATAAAGTACCTGGTTTTACCTTGAGTGACACCCTAGATGTTATTCGAATAGTTACTGCATAGGGCTGCATAATGACCTAAATGGAAATACACATATATGTACTTTTGCTTTCGAGAAGTCTGCTTGTATTAGGACATGGCAGGAATTACTTTTAAATACTATCCCGCATGCAGTATGTTCCACATGAGAAGGCTGAATTTACAGAATATTCAAGAAAAGTAATAAAAAAGTGGTACAGATACACTTAGTATGATTTCTCATCAGGGCACTACAGAGACAATAGGAGTATTTCTCTAAATGCGTGATAACGAAATCGTTTCCGCAATACATCTTGTCTGACGTTCCCACAGGTAGCCCTGTTATACCATCACTGAAATATCATGACTTCATAAAACTTTGAAAATAGAAATTCCTCTAAATGTGGTTGCTGTAAAGTCTGAATTAATAGACATTACTCTTTAAAAAATGATTGCTGACTTATCCCTGCTAAACCAGATGACGGAGTTTCAAACATTGTGATTATTTTATAAATGTAAATTCTATAGGACTATCCTATTATTCGTATCTGGTGTATGATAATTGCATTTTTTCCAAATCCCACGATCTTCGCCTTTGTATTTTGATTATTGATTGAACTAAATGAAGGGACTTTTTAAAAGGCACCTGGTTCTAGAGGCCATCTTATTGATCTCTTAGCTCTCCAGGGTGAAGTGGTCTAAGTATATCTATCTGTCAGTTGAACACGTTTCCTTTTCTGATGTTTACGTCACCAACCCAGGCCTGGCCGTGATTATCTTTCACTTTCTCCTCCTGATGGGATCTGAATCAGTATAATTTTAAACGTCCCTGATTCCAAATGTTAAGTCATCCTGATAAGCCATCATGTCTTCAATTTACTCAAGCTGCTATAAATTTACCCAGTGATGAACCCTTATTATGCCACTCACTCAGCCCTTGTGCAAAACTACCGAACATTTGCAGCTGGATTTTTGGGTATCTCTGTAGGTTTTGTGAATGCTAACTTCTACCAGTGCCTTAAAACCTGGAGATGCCTCTGGCACCGTGCGATTAGAAGTAAATGAACAATTGAAAGCCTTTTAGAGAACATGGGGCCTTAGAAGTAGGAGTTTCCTACCCTCCAGTGTGTCGTAGTGACTAATAATCAAGGTTCCCTCAGGGCAAAATCCATTTGATAGTATAGACGGACAGCAGCTTTATAGAGGTTTTTGTTTTTCCTGTTTTGCCCACCTCTCTGGAAGAGAGGTGAAGTAGAAAACCTCCAAGTTTTCTTCCAACTTCTAGATTCTTAACTCATTAGTTGACCCAGTGTCACGGAAAAATCACACATGTGTGACTTCTCCCAAGATGTGGACAACCAGACAAGCTGCAGGTGCTCAGGTGGGAGTGACCCTCAAGCCTTATGACTGGGTCTACCCAGTGGATGGGAGCCGGGAGCCAGAAGTGCTGGGTGGGGACAGGATTTCACCTCCCCAAGCAAAGAGACGCTGGCATTGACACGTGCTGCCCAGACGCACGGTTTATAGGGAGTCAGTAAAGTCAGGTGTGCTTCTAAGGGGCTGGGGAGCGGATGGCACGACTGACAGGAAGGACCAAGCACTGTGTGACCTGGAACGTTCACTCCAAGGCCTTTCCTTGGTCTTGGGGTCTTTGGGAAGGGTGACTCATCACAGGTCCCTGTAGACCAGGGAGCCGAAGATACACATTGAGACTCAGATTACATTTGGTTCAAAAGCTGGGCCACACTTTGGCCTATTTATTGGGTCTCATGGATCGTGCAGAATTAAAAATGGATTTTACAGGGGCGCCTGGGTGGCTCGGTCCATTAGGCGTCTGACTTAGGCTCAGGTCATGATCTCACTGTTCGTGAGTTCGAGCCTCTCCGCTGTCAGTGCAGAGCCCGCTTCGGATCCTCTGTCCCCCCTCTCTCTCTGCCCCTTCCCCCTCTCTAAAAAATAAAAATAAATTTAAAAAGGACATAAAAAATGGATTTTACAAGTAGAATCATGATGAATTACAAATGTCACTCCAGACTTTAGTGCATGGATTATGGTATATCCAAAAAGAGAGCGAGAGAGAGAGGTCAGACTATATTTCCTTTCTGTGACTCAGTGTATCTCCAGTGCTCAAATATAATCTATAACAGTAATGAGCTCTAACGGTTAATGGGGACACAGCATCCCCAGCTTCTAATAGCATTCTTATAAAGTGTCCCAAATAAAATCCTTCCTCCAATCAGATTCTTCTGTTTGATACAATTCCTGCTGACACCTTTCGGTTTGGTCATGCCTGATCTTTCACTCCTTCATTTGTGATTTTTAAGGAATTTGTCAAATAAGCAGACTAAGGAATCTTTTAAAGCGCCCTTAAAAACTATGTCCAGGGACTTCCCGCAGGTCCCAGTGTAGCCTTGGCATAAACTGGGATGGCACGATTCAGGACGAGGTGCGGTGTTAATGTTGGGTCCTCCGTGGTGCCCACTCTCGGTGGCTTCCTTCAGAACACCTGGGGCAATTTCTGGAGAGACCTTTTGTTCCTGTTTCATCACCTGGATCTCCAGATAAACTAGAGCCACTAAAACAACGTCCACGTTAGTGATGATAAAGCTTCCTGACTCACTATCCCTATTATCCAAATACGCTGCCAACTGAAGGGAGACAGAGTGGACGCTGCTCGGAATGAGTCCTTGCTGAAGACACAAAGGCCCCGACTCAGAGATGAGGAAGAGGTGGAAGGCCAGTCAGAAGGCATTACTTGAAACCTCTGTCTAATTTGTCAGTTAATTCTGATCTCCTCGAGATCTTATCGTTCTGTTCCCGCTTTAGTGTTTCACCTGAGAGTGTGCGCGTTTTTGCAGCGCCCAGACCGTCATCTGCCTTCTCATCAAAAATGGCAGAGACACGGAAAGCCACATCTCACCTGAGAACTTTGGGGATTACCAGGGTATTTAATACTAGGGGAGAGAGACACAGAGAGAGAAGTGGAGAGAGCGGGGGGGGGGGGGTGTGGGGCGGGAAGAGAAGATTGGAAAAAGTCAATGATGTAGGAACATGAAATGGAGTGGGTGCCTACCACCCCTCGTGCCATCCCAGGGACGACTGACGTCAGCCGACTGACCCAACCAAGTAGAGGCAATTGCATTTTTATTTTTTTTTTTTTAATTTTTTTTTCAATGTTTTTATTATTTATTTTTGGGACAGAGAGAGACAGAGCATGAACGGGGGAGGGGCAGAGAGAGAGGGAGACACAGAATCGGAAACAGGCTCCAGGCTCTGAGCCATCAGTCCAGAGCCTGACGCGGGGCTCGAACTCACCGACCGCGAGATGGTGACCTGGCTGAAGTCGGACGCTTAACTGACTGCGCCACCCAGGCGCCCCTAATTGCATTTTTAAAAGTAAAAACAAACAGAGAATTAAAAAAAAAATTAAGGATAGCGATATCGAGGATACCTATTTTTCAAACTAAAAATATTCACGTAAAAATCAAATATTAGTGGGAATTCCCTTTTGAACCCCTTTCTTTCAAACCATATTTCTTTAGCAATTTCCTGGGTGCAGGGAAGAGATATTCTGTCCACGTTATTAGGAATCATTGTCTTACAGATATCTTCAGACTTCTCCCATTTGGTAAAAGATGAAAGATTTATACGATCTGAAGGGAAAGCAGAGTATAAACTCCTACCATTTTGAATGTAGCAGTCACTATGTCTCACGCTAACAGTATTGATCATTCATATTAGTTACACACATTGCTACTGTCACATCTAAATTATTTTTACATTTAACTTCTGGGTTGTTTGGGTTTTTAAAATTCGTTGCATGAAGGTAAGTGAACTCACTGTGTGCTTGTAGTCTGGAGGAAATACGAGACACGCGTTCGGTGCCGAACCTGATGAATGCTCTTTCCTTTAGTTTCAACATGGAGCCCAGTTATGATTTCCTGCATATCTATGAAGGAGAAGATTCCAACAGACCTCTCCTTGGAAGTTTCCAGGGTTCTCAAGCCCCAGAAAGAATAGAGAGCAGTGGAAATAATCTTTTTCTGGCTTTCCGGAGTGATGCTTCCGTGGGCTTGTCGGGGTTTGCGATTGAATTTAAAGGTACTGTGATCAGCTTGATTTGTGTGTCAAATAATTTGCATCAAGGTTTATTCATTGTAAGCATTTATCTCTGAGGTCTTGTGTGACTGTTTCATACGTAAAATGCTCGCATAACATAATGTTCGATATTTACAGTGGGGAAGAAAATCCAGAGACACATTTCTCCCTTTGCTGAAAGGAAAAAAGAAAAGTGAATAATTTCTTTTTTTTTCCCCCAATTCATAGTCATGTAAAAATCAATTATGATGTGTGTATTGAAGGATTTGATGACATTTAAGAGTTGGGGCAGCTCAGTTGGTTGAGCGTCCGACTTTGGCTCAGGTCGTGATCTCACGGTCTGTGAGTTCGAGCCCTGCGTCAGGCTCTGTGCTGACAGCTCAGAGCCTGGAGCCTGCTTCCGATTCCGTGTCTCCCTGTCTCTCTGCCCCTCCCCTGCTCATTGTCATAGTCTCTCTCTCTCTCTCTCTCTCTCTCTCTCAAAAATTAAGAAACACTAAAAAAATAATAATTGTTATTATTTTCACGTGTGTTTTAATGTCCTCTCATTTGTTTCTTCAGAATGACTAAGGTTAAGTACATCAGAATAGTAGTTTTATCTCCTTGCTTTTCAACGTGTGATTTTGTGGCCCTCACCTGTCTCCACCACCCATGGGCACTGGTTCATGAGGAGCCCCAGCCAAGGCAAGCTTCCTTGTTTGCCCACCAGATGGGTGTCTCCCACTTTCGTTTGGGACCCCCCCCATCACCTGTTGCCAGAGAAAATAGAGACAAACTCAAACACAAAACACCCTAAATTAAGCATTTTTCTATAGCGTCCATGAAAATAATCACATTCTTTTCAAATCCATGTCTCATGGAAACCAAGAACATACAAGATATATGACAAAGAATTAGAGAAAAGGACTTAATGAAATATCAATTCAGACTAGTGAGCGCTTTAAAAAAATAATGAAAATATGTATACTGATTTAAACTTGAGTTACTTATCAGTGATTAGAATTGTCAAGTAAAACACAGGACACATTTCATGTCTGTTAATGCTTCAATGGACTTATGTTTCTTTATATGATTTTAGGTAGAAAATTAATCTATTTCCTTCTAAACACCAAAATCTACAAACTTACTGATTCTTATTAAAATGCCTAAGAGAAAAATATTATATAACTCAGCAGTCAGAGGAGTTCTTGTGCTTTGGGGATGGGATCTGTTAATGTTTATGAATAATGAAAAACAGCACATTTAGGCATTTTCCATATCATCAGACAGTTTCTGGAGTAACGAGAACTCACAGACGTGCACTTCACCATGACAGTGCCCATTCTAGAATGAGCTGCAAAGCACCACCCCTCCTCTAAACATAAGGATGGACATTTGTCACTGCCTGCCTGTGCACTTTGTGCTCTCCAGGGCCTCCTCGGCTGGACGAGGGACTAAAGGAGGAAGGAGGTACATTCCTAAGGGTAGGAAGAGAGACGTGCCTCTTTTGTGTGGGTTCTTTCAAGACCAGGGCAGCTTTCGAACTGGGGGCCACAGCTCTTCATGTTTTCAAAGCTCTCCAGGAGAGGCTGTGAAAAACAGAAGTAGCAGAAGACGAGGAAAGGTCGCAGTGACGGTGCTTTGGTCAGCTCTCCGGCAGGACGAGAAGTAGGAGGCACGGGCAGGGTCCCTGAGCCACAGTGTCTGACGCCGGCTGATTGAACCCACTGTCCTCTTGCGCGAGTTCTCAGAGGCGTGTCCTTAGGGAGGAAGGACATGAACTGTGGCAAAACACACTATGTTATAAAGTCATCGAATTAGAAAATAGGACAAACCGTAAGCGAAAACCGTGTCTGTGATTTATCACGAAACATTCTGAACCAAGAGCTGGAGGAATGGAACCACAGGGTTAGAGGGGGTTCATTTGCAGAGATGAAGACACCTGCCATCAGAGACCTAACTCGGTGACACAGAGCAGGCGGTCGTGTACATGGTGTTTAGTGAGACAGTAAACTCGACTGAAAGGGATGTATGACAAATAAATGATTGAAAAGGGAGAAAGGGCAACAGGCATGTATGGTAGACCCCTTCTCTGTGGTTTTGCTTTCCTGGTCTCGGTCTGGGCGACCCGTGGTCAGCGGGGTCTGGAAGCACATGCTCCGCCCCTTGAGCTGGACTCAGAAGGGCACCAGAAGGTTCCCAGGAGCCTGACACTGGTCGTCGTGTCCAGGTCACTCATGAGCTTGGGTATATTTTATAGTTGTTCCATTTTATTAGTAGTAATTATTGCTGATCTCTTAAACTCTCATAGGCATATATGTATATATAAGTAGGACAAAACATAGTATACATAGGGTTTGGTACTCTGTGCAATTTCAGGCCTTTCCTGGGGGTCTGGAAATGCATCTCCTAAATAAGGGGGACTGCTGCTGTGTACTGAGAAAATTTTTAGCACTTTAAGAGAGAGAGGAAGCATGAGCCCAGGAGGGGCACAGAGAAGGAGACACACAAAATCCAGACTCTGAGCTGTCAGCGCACAGCCCGACGCGGGGCTCGAACCCAGGAACTGTGAGATCGTGACCTGAGCTGAAGTCGGCCGCCCAACCGTCTGAGCCACCCAGGCGCCCCCATAATACATTCTCAGAATACGTGAAGTCAGCAGTTGCCAACGAGATCTCTGTTTGGCTGATGTTGACACAGATCGTTATAAACACAATGGAAAATATGGAATAAATACAGTTCAACAGCCCTCTTTTGTTTCCTGCAAGCCTTCCCAAGCTTCGTGCTGTTCTCCTCTGCCACATGCCATCCACTCCTAAGGGGACACGCAATGTTAAGTCCTCAAAAGTCACTCCACTTTCAGTCTGTCATGGCATATCTGTTAGAACCTCTCAGGATGGTTTTCCTGCAAAGAGGAGTTGGTGGAAATAATAATAAGCAACAGATAGACAATCAGTAAGAAACAATTTAAACAGAGAGCATGATCAATATTAATTCCAGCCAAAGAAAATCAGTCTACCACTTATAATTTCCAGAGATCTTTTGTATGCGAATGAAGGAATTGACACACGTCAAGGCAGAAGAAGAGTGAAAACGTGTCTATTTTATCCACTCAAGTTACCCTTGAGCATGTATTGATATTAATGACCTTAATCCCTCTGTCTGTCTGTCTCTGTCTGTCTCTGCCACACACACACACACAGACATGCACAGACAAGCCAAACTGTATTTTTATACTGTCAGTTAAAAAATGAAGATTAATGTTTCAGGTATCTTCTAAATTGATCACTTGAACATCTATGAAATTCAGGTCTAGAGCCTTCTGACATGACCAGGAACTTTGATGATGGCATGAAAAATGTTGACGTGTATAAGCAAAAACGCCATTCAAATGATGAAGTACAATATAACTATGTAACTATATATATTACTATATATATAACTACATATTTATAATTATAAATTATATAATTGTATATATTTATAACATTTATATATTATAATTTGTATATTATATATACTTATATATATATACTTATATATATTATAGACATATATAGAGAGAGTTATCTATCCATTTAGAGATATTTTGGAAGGTCTATTGAATATAAAGACATTTAAAATGGTAAGGTTACCAAAAGTCAATAGGAATTAACCACATAGCTACAAGTCTCAGAGGGGAAAAAAAAAAAGACTGGTTTCTATTTGGGAACAGATAGGCTTTTAGTGAAAGTTTCTTTTCAGTTTATTTCTTTATTTTGAGAGCGAGACAAGGGAAGGGCAGAGAGAGACAGGGAGAGAGAGAATCCCAGGCAGGCTCTGAGCTGTCAGCACGGAGCCCAGCATGGGCCTCCGACTCACAAACTGTGAGATCGCGACCTGGGCGGCAACCGAGGGTCGGACGCTTAACCGTCTGAGCCTCCCAGGTGCCCCAAGTGAAAGTTGTTACACTTCTCTTGGGCTTCCAGGTCCACAGTCCGCAGCAGACCAGCTCTGGCCCTCGCAGAGCTGCAGGGGAGGACAGAATGGAGGGCGAGGTGCAGCCCGCCCCGTGCCTAGAACGCAGCCGGCCCTCACCTCCCTGGGGCGGTCACCGCAGCCAGGTCGGAGCTGTCGGGAGGTCCTGGCGGTGAAGGTGCGGCGACTGGCGCTATCCATTGGTCCCGACCCCGCCGCCAGGCGTTGTGCCCCCGAGTGCAGGGAGGGAGCCCTGTGGGAGGCCCGGAACTTCTCCTGTCCTCCCTGCCGGTCTCGGTCTCTTCTTCCCTGTATCAAGTGCTGAGCACTGGCATGCACCGAGCCCGACCCGGGGAGTGGCCGGATTCTCTCATGGCCTCTGGGGCGTGTGGTTTCACATCAGCATGATTTAAGTGCAGTGGTAGGAAACGACCTCAACTTTTCCAGCCTCGCTTTCTTTGCTTCAGTACTAGGTTCCGTAGCAAAAAGAAAAAACAAAAAAACAAAACAAAACAAAAAAAAACTTGTAAAAAGTAATGTTGTGTTTTTTACCTAAATGAAAGTGATTCAATAACGATTCTGTAGTAAAATGTGGTTTTAAGAAAAGAAGTGTAATTGTATTAAGTTGGAGTTTTTCCTATTTTCGTGTTATTGAATTGTTAACTTGGTAGTTATCACATTAATAATGACATGTTATTAATATTAACTTGATACTTAGCTACTAACTTGGTTATTTGTCCATCTATAAATACTTTTTGAGCTTTTCTCATATACCAGGCACTGTTGTAGGCAGTAGATAAAATGAGCAAGCAAACAGAGAAACAGACAGAAGCTTAAGATCCCTGCCCTTACGGAGGTGACCTTTGCTTCTACAGAGAAGCCCCGGGAAGCCTGTTTCGACCCTGGAAATATAATGAACGGGACACGCATTGGCACGGACTTCAAGCTTGGCTCAACCGTGACCTACCAGTGTGACTCTGGCTACAAGATTGTGGACCCCTCCTCCATCACGTGTGTGATCGGAGCGGACGGAAAACCTGCCTGGAGTCAGGCCTTGCCTTCCTGCAACGGTACGCGTGGGCCCTGTGCTGTCGTTCATAACACTTTTACTTTAGAATGCACGGTCTCATTTGACTTTTACTTTAGAATGCAACGTCTCAGGGGCGCCTGGGGGGCTCAGGTCATGATCTCATGGCTCATGAGTTCAAGCCCCGCATCAGGCTCTGTGCTAACAGCTCAGAGCCTGGAGCCTGCTTCCGTTTCTGTGTCTCCCTCTCTCTCTGCCCCTCCCCTGCTCATGCTCTGTCTCTCTCTGTCTCAAAAATAAATAAATGTTTAAAAAAATTAGAATACAACATCTCATTTTACTTTTACTTTAGAATGCAATGTCTCATTTTAGAAATGCTGTCACGCTTCGGTGCTGTAGTCCCCTAACCAGTGGTTAGGGCTAGATTCCCTTACAGAGCCAGTGCAGACTAAGTATTTCACATGCCTTGATCATTTGATGTATGGCCATTGTCACAGGCTTCGGGGAGGGGTGACATTTTTCTCTCAGATAGTCTGGCATTTTTAACTTCTTTTTTTTTTTTTTTTTAATATACTAGGCCTGATGCACATTTACAGGTACTAAGTGACAGTCTCCTGATGCACCCTTCTGCTTCTGTCTCCATGTCTGTGTGTGTGTGTGTGTGTGTGTGTGTGTGTGTGTACACATGTATATATGTGTATATATTCATGTGTCATTCTCCCCCCAAATATCACTGGTTGTAATTCTTTATATGGGCATTCACTTACTAAATCCACACATTAAAAGGTAAGATCAACCTTCAAGAGCAGACAGAACTAGGGCACCTGAGCAGCTCAGTTGAGTGTCTGACTCTTGATCCTGGCTCGGGTCGTGATTTCACAGGGCTGTGGGAGTGAGCCCTGGGTCAGGACTCGTGCTGTCACTGGATCCTGCTTGAGATTCTCTCTCTCCTTCTGTCCCTCCCCAGCTCGTGGCACTCTCTCCCTCTCTCTCTCCTTCTCTTTCTCTCTCAAAAAAAGAAGAGACAGAACTGACCTACAGTGACAGCAGTCTGGTGGCAGTTACCCCGGACAGTGCAGTGACAGACAGATGTAGATTTCCGGGTCTCTGGCCGTGTCCGTATGTTAATCCAGTCAGTGATTTCATAGGACTGTCCATAGACCAAAGTGTTCCAGCTTTGGGCATATGACTTGTAACCTCTACCCTGAGATGATGCACATTAAAAAGAAGATGGTAAAGCCCATGGCGTTTGCAGAAAAAAAAAAAAATGATTTCCAAGTTATTTTAGGATGAACTCAGGTACAAGTTTAGTTAGATATAATGAACTTACCAAAAGCTTTCTTTTTCTCCCCCACTCAGGACAGCTCACGTTACTGGTCCCTTCAGACCAAATCGGTCAAATTTAAAAATTAAACAAAAGAAACAAACCAACGTAACGCCCTTGGTCGCACTGTGACATCCGTGTCCCTAAGTCTGTGTGTGAACCCGAGAACTTGTCGATTTAAGAAGCCACCTTGCCAGGACTCACCACTGGGTACTGGCACAGTAAGGACTTCACACAAGTTTCTAGAGGAAATGAATAAGTTAGTGAAAAGCTAAAAATAAATTTTCATGGAAAATTATGCAGCCTGTTAAATCTTCCTAATCTGACATGTTTTAATAACCAAAATGAAAACAGATTCATCGATGCTTCTCAGATTCCAGGTCTGAAAGAGTGAACGATGCTGAGGGAAGTAAATACACCATGGCCCCCCCCCATGCATAGTGCGCGTTTCCGTGTTTTTCATTAAAGTCTGAACTTAACCAGTAAGGTTTGGGTCCTCAGCATTGTAATCTCTTCTGTGGAGGGTGAGGAAGCTGGCCAGCCTCATAACTCATGTTAACTGCAAAGTGCATGTGGGACCCTGTGGGATTTCCTTGTTGCAAATCTGCGTTCCCCCAACGCCATTGGGCCCGGGATAGGGGTGGCCGTGGGCCTGCCTGCTCTGTTTCGGTCTTGAGGAAAAGCCAGAGAGGAGTCCAGTTCCAGATCCACTCTTAACCTCATGTGCGAGGTGGGAAGGTGGTTCAGTGCCTGTGGGCCTCTGTGTCTTCTCGTCAGGGACAACGGTGATATTTGCCTGATACCCTCTGTGGACCTATCATAATAATCATATGGAGCGATAGCTGTAAAAGATGTAAAAATCAGGGCGCCTGGGCGACTCAGTCAGTTGAGCATCCGACTCAGCGCAGGTCATGATTTTGCATGTGGTTCATGGGTTCGAGGCCCACATCGGGCTCTGTGCTGACAGCTCAGAGCCTGGAACCTGCTTCAGATTCTGTGTCTCCCTCTCTTTCTACCTCTCCCCCACTCATGTTCTGTCTCTCTCTCTCTCTCAAAAAGAAATAACCATTAAAAATATAGATACGTAAAAACCCACGTATATTTATGTTACATTTTGTAGAAACTTAATATGTCACATTTTAATTATATTTAAAATGCACATGCCCTTTATAAAATATAAATAATGCCATATACATGAAATAAAATGCCCAGTAACCTCATAGATTTGGAAGGGCCTGAGAAACATCATTCATCTCAAATTCTTAAAAAGCAATCTAAAACTTCTATTTCAATGTTTATTGTTATTTTTTACTTTTGAGATTTTGGAAGCCACTTGTTATATATGTAAATTACCCTTTACATACATACACATATACACACCTATGAGTGTAAAGGGAAATTAATCTATAAACATAATAAAAAATATTGTTTCTATTAATAACAAACATATATAATATATATTGAAATATATATATTTATACACCAATAATATATAACATTAATATAATAAATATAATGTTGATGGATAACTAATAATATAAATAAGTAATATATATTTTTATTATGTTTTTAGGTTTATTTCCCTTTATACTTATAGGGTGTATACGTGTATATATATTTCAATATATACTAAATATAGATATTGAAATAAATACATTACATTAAATAAAATATATATTAAATGTAGATTAAATATGTGTGTGTGATGTACATGATTCATGTACATGTATATGTAAAAATAATATGCATATATAGAAAGCAAATTTATGAGGGAAGTTTGTAAATTTTAGCACCAGGCAGTGTATTTAAGTCATGACCATGAAGGCCAGCTTGTGAGTCAGTGCCTCCCCTGGCTCTATTTAATGAAAAATGCTGAAAAGCCACATACTTAAGTTACCGTGTGAGCTGCTTTGGGCAGGTTCGACAACATGGAAGTTTTGGGGTCCTTCCCGCTAAATTTCCTAAAAACTAACATGAGGGGTGTCTGGGAGGTGACACAGTGGAACCCAGGCAGTGCTCTCATGGGAGCCTAGGGTCCTAGATCGCCGTCCCAGAAGTGGGTCCAGGGCTGCCTGCAGGCTGCTTTCCTAGGTCTTGAGGACCCCACTTTCCAGGGGAGAGGTTCTGAGGGTGGGGATTAGAGCAGGGCCCAGGGGTTATCCAACTAGAGGTGGCCAAATTCTGGCTGCACCACCCAGGGCTCAGGACATAAGAATGCCTACCTCACCAGTGTTGGAAAGATTAAATGGGATATGCATATGGCTGTCTCAGACAAAGTAGGTGCTCAATAAATAGAAAATCTGGATTCTGTATGTAGATCTTAATCTACATGTAAATGGAGTACATGATCCTTTTAATAAACCAGAGGGCAATGATTGCGGACTCTTGGTCTGACATCCAGTCACGTCGTGACTGTTGAGCATGAAACCCCAACAAATGCAGTGCACTTACACACACCTCAGTTCCCAGCAGCCATCCCGCATAGATAATGTGTGAACAGAAACACCTCCCGGGATATAACTTTCTACAGAGGTTCTAATATTTTTACTTGTATTCCACTAAATGTACATCCCAGGTGTGGTAATATCCCTCTTCAGACATCTCCATAGAGGATATATATATGGGGACCAGAGTAAAAATAAGAAAGAACGTGAGTTTTAGACTTTGTTAAATAATATGCAGGAGGAATTAAATTTGTATTAAACTCAAATGCAATTTGAACCTGTGGGGGAATGATAGCCACAAAATAAACATAAATAAAAGAAGTCACATTTGGATAATAGATACAGAATCAAATTGTAAATTAGAGACTATTTCTTCTGTATTTGAAGACCCATAAAGCCAAGAGCAATTTCTGTTTACCTGTCATCAAAGTGCACAACACATAAATTTTTATTTATGCTATTTATTTACATTTAAGTAGAACTCAAAATACCAAATCATTAAAGTAGAAATTACCTCCCCCCGTAGTTTATTTTGGATCTGTCATGGGGAATAACACATTTTGTGCATGAATCACTACCTGTGGATCATTTAGATGACCAGCTAAACCAGGGATTTCTGCTATATTGTAAACGGTTCAAGCCTGAATGGCTCAGTCTATTAAGCGTCCAACTTCGGCTCAGATCATGATCTCAAGGTTCATGGGTTCGAGCCCCGCGTCGGGCTCTGTGCTGACAGCTCAGAGCCTGGAGCCTGCTTCATATTATGTGTCTCCCTCTCTCTCTGTTTCTCCCCCACTCATTCTCTCTCTCTCTCTCTCTCTCTCTCTCTCTCTTTCAAAAATAAATAAAACATTAAAAAAAAACCATTTCAATATTCCATATATTATGGAATGCAGGCTGCACGTTCTGGACTAGTTTATTTTAAATGTAGAATATGATTTTTTTTTTCTTGGTGATTCATCTGTTGTCTGCAGTTTTTCTTCACTGAAATTTACTGTAAATTGAACTGAAATTGAAACAACCCAGAGCCCGTTTCACGGGTCAGGATGTTAGCTGTGTTGTTTCAGTTTACATTCGATTCGATTGAATTTTGTTGTCTTTACGTATGAGGCATACATTCAAGTTAACCAGATGGATGAGTGAGTTCTTGTTACCATCTGTAGTTATGATATTATTGCTCTTTATTCATTTAGAAAATTATCTGTTTCATGCATTAATTACCAAAGAGCAAGAACATCTTTATTTTTCTTTCATCACATTAACGTAAAATAATGCCCATTACGGAAAAGACCATACCTATCTGCATCTGAGGTCAGCGCAGTAACACGGACAGAATAATCATTAAGAATGAAGTGAAAATCCTATACATATTTTTGTCAATTTCACAAATGTTTGCTTGTGTGCAAAATAGTTCTGGTGCTTATCTAGAATGTGTAAGCACAACCGAATGCATCAAGGAAGCAGTAGACCTAAAATGCCAGGTCAGTTTCCTTTCATTTCATCTTTTTTTTTTTTTTAATGTCTTGTGTTATCATAAAATAATTCTCTTTCATCCTGTCCTTGAACAAAATAAATGTTTGTAGGTATACTTCCACAAATACATCACACAGTGTCCTTGATAAGATTTCTGTCTGTCAGATCATTTGGGCATCCAAATGTTACCCCAGTGGTGATTTGCTTCCACTTTTTATTTATACCTGTGGCTTAAAATTTGAACTGGATGGATTTTCTAGGTTTAAAAGAAAGGATATTTGCACAGTTACCTGCTTGAGTTTTATATGGCTGAGCAAAAAATAGATTTCTATGCTTCATGGTACTTACGTTTTAAAATTTGAACTGTAAACTTTTAAGGAGAAAAGTAGTTCTGAAATACCCTGGTTGCATTTATATGGATGAGGTGAAAAAAAAATTAAGCGATGTATCTAAATTAGTAGAATAAGTCACCTAGCATTTCATGTAGAACCTTCAGCTTGGGAGTTTAACTTCTATCAACAAGTTAAAGTAGAATTTTTCTTTTTAGAATTGTAAAATGTCAGTGTAAGTGTCGTGGGATGATAAAATTATTCTGAATCAAGACACCAGCGGGAAGACCACACTCAGTGTAGTTAAAGAAAATCTCTACCTGTTGATCATAAGTAGATCAACGCTGTCAGATGCGTAAGCTGTTTTCCCTTGAAACTTAGAATAAGACTTCAGTTTTCCAAGCTGTTGTGATGTATGGCTTCGAACTCTCACAAATCACGAATGAGGTGCTTTGACATTAAATGTCAACATAGTCCAAGGAGCTTTGTTAGTTGCGAAGAATGCCTATCAGTTAGGACTTGATAGTGTGTTAATTAACATTGGAAGGATTAAATATATTGCCTTTGATTTGTCTTTTGGTGCTTGAAAACTGTCTTATCAAGAATAAATAAGTTGTACAAATCTACTTTTTCAAACACTAAAAATGATTCTGACTTGAGGTCCATGGGGGTGTATCTGAGACCAGGAGCAGCGTGGTCAGGCTGCAGGCAGCGGGGTCCGGGAGGCTGGTAGTTCAGTGCCTGTCCCGGGTCACACTCTGCAGACTGGGACGTCTTCTGAAGTCACATTTGACGGATTGAAGGATAGGGCGTTTAATTAAAAAACTGGGAGTCACGAGACTAGGATTCAATTGAATGTCTGTCTGAACATGCTTCCAGAGTATTTTCGGTGTTGTCCCAGTGTTTTCAGTGTTTCCTTAGCAAAAGTAATGCCCAAGCGAATAAAATAATGAGAAGGAAAGTAAAGACACGCACACGCGCGTGCGCACACACAGAGCTCTGCACGTAACACTTGTTACTGTATCTGCCCTGGCTTTCTCGTTATGAATCAATTCAGTTTTCAATCAAACTTACAGAGACCCCGGCTTATTAGTAATTCTACATGCTACTCTTGAACCGAGTCTTTGAGATGAAAAGTTCAACAATGAAAAGCTAAAAGCAAACATTATTTTTTCTAAGCCCTGTAGTAATGTAAAAACAGTAGAAAACTGAAATAATTTTTGTAGCTCTTCAGTTAATATGACTGATGCCAACCAGAAAATTCTCGTGAGACTCAAAGTAACTCAGGAATCTGTTCACTTCAGGCTTGTTGTTAGTTTCTTACTAACATTTTCATGATCATTTTAGCACGTCTGGGAGAGGTTTTGGGATTTCCTGAGACCATCATAGGTTTTTCTCCTAAGTTTTCTTTATTCAAACTTGGTAAATCTCCGCTTTTCTTTTCCTTCACTTCCCACAGTGAAGTTAAGTAGTCTTTCCATTGGCCACTTTGTTAAATTTCTTTTTTAAATTTTTTTAATGTTTATTTTTGAGGGAAAGAGTGTGAGCAACAGAGAGAGACAGAGTGTGAGTGGGGGGGTGGGGAAGGGGCCTAGAGAGAGGGAGACACAGAATCTGAAACAGGCTCCAGGCTCTGAGCTGTCAGCACAGAGCCTGATGCGGAGCTCGAACTGACGACCCGTGAGATCATGACCTGAGCCGAAGTTGGACGCTCAACCCACTAAGCCACCCAGGCACCACCCCCCTCCCCCCACTTTGTTAAACTGTTGAACAAACCAGGTGAGATGCTCATTTCCTCAGTGTTTTCATCCTCCTGCGGCCCTGCCCCTCGCGAGCAGGTGTGGCGATGGTTTTGCACATGCTGTTTGCTTACTCCCTCTTGCAGCTCCCTGCGGAGGCCAGTACACGGGGTCCGAAGGGGTCGTTTTGTCACCAAACTACCCTCATAATTACACGGCCGGTCAAATATGCCTCTACTCCATAACGGTGCCAAAGGAGTTTGGTAAGTTTCTCTTTCTTTAAGGTTTATTCGTGGTCATATTTGTTTCGATGTTAATTTTTCTGTCATCTTATAAACAAATCTTTCGGCTCTGACTATAATAAAAACTATAAAAGAAGACGATTTGTGTTAAAGCAACAGGTTTTCTAAACGTACACAGCATCCATTCCAGTTATTTTATCAATGTCATGTAAAATGCGTAAATTTTCTTCTAAGATTCTGATCCAGAATAATCAGAGAGAATCAGTTTGGCTTGACTCATCCTTTGTTAGAAACTAGTGTTTTTTGAGGCAGGATGGCCAAGTGAGTGGGCCAGGGGAACACTGGATACCAGTCTGCACCTGCATTTCTCAGTCCGATGCTGACAGAAGTCACCGGATCAGTGAGCTCACCTTCGAGTAGGTAGAGATGTAAAAGTGGGCAGATCCCCATGTGACCCCACGACACCTCGCTTACGAATTTCCCTCCTGAACTTCGCTTCCAGTCTGAGCCAGCTTTCCGCCTGGCTTCTTCTCTAGAAGGGCCTTCCTGCTGGGTCTGCACTTTTCCCAGAGCTGGATTCCCACACCTCCAATCTCACTCTTGACCACGGACATTTCCTTTGATTTGGGTTCTTTTTTGGAGTAAACCAGATAGTCGTTTTTATAACTTTATAGACCAGGTTCTTTTTTTCCCAGTGGTACAGTGAAAACCCTACATGGCTAAGTTTTGTTTTTTTTTCTTTACATGTGATGTAGCAGCCATCCACTCATAGACAGACAGCAGGTAAAGATTCTAAGGCTAGAATCTGTTTGAGGGAAAACCCTTTGGAAAGTACAATTATAACACAAGTAAGTTACTTGTTGGGTAAGAAATTGGCATGCGGGAGACAAACAGTTTCTGGATGGCAAGTAAGTTGTTCTGCGTGTGTGTGTTTGCACAAGACGGGCAGACATTTCTAATAAATGTTAACTTGGTAAATGAGCGAGGTCTCGCAACACAAGTCGTACGTGACGCCCGATGTCACATGATCACAGCTGAGCCAGTGGTCCTTGAAATTTGCTTTGATATATGAGTGCTTTGGATGACAAGCGTGTTTCCGGAAGGTGTTATGCTGACAAACCAAGGTTTTACTCTATTTATTATCTACAGGCCTCTTCAAAACTGACGAAAACCTTCACCAGGATCTTACTTTAGCCTTAGGTGGTTTAGGTCACGGGCCTTTCATGAACCGTGTGACGAACTTGCTTGCTATTTTACCACACACCATGTAGTGTCTACCCTGGGCCAGTACTCAAGACTGTTGGGCTTTTCGGGCTGGGCTTTCCTTGGTGTTTAAGAGATGATGGACTTGCTCGTGGAGACCAGGGCAGGGGGACCAGCTCCCCACCAGGCAAAGGGCTGGTTCACTTACTCTGTGAATGAGCGACAGCTGTTACTCTCATTTGAAAAGTGAGAGGTTGGGGCGCCTGGGTGGCGCAGTCGGTTGAGCGTCCGACTTCAGCCAGGTCACGATCTCGCGGTCGGTGAGTTCGAGCCCCGCGTCAGGCTCTGGGCTGATGGCTCGGAGCCTGGAGCCTGGAGCCTGTTTCCGATTCTGTGTCTCCCTCTCTCTCTGCCCCTCCCCCGTTCATGCTCTGTCTCTCTCTGTCCCAAAAAATAAATAAAAAACGTTGAAAAAAAATTAAAAAAAAAAAAATAAAAAGTGAGAGGGCTTCAGAATATCTACTTTGCTACAATAAACAAACAATAAAACTTAGAATAGCTCCTGATTCTCACTCTTTTTGCTTGACCATTTCCTTTAAACTAATGTCACTTCTTCAGCTCCCGTTAATTCGTTTTTTCCACCTAAGTGCTTAACGACATCCTCCAGTTACTTTCCTATTCCTTTTACTTTTGTTCATAGATAAACGGTAGAACATATTTATCACAATGGAATATAGCAGCCATATTCTATGATTTTAGTTTATTTCAAAATTTATTGAATTGTCACAACACAATTATGATTTCCCAACAGATAAAAAAAAAGTCACACCTCTATCCTAAATATTGATCAGAGTTTCCCAGTCTGAAATGTTTAAAGATATACATTTATCACATTCTATCCAGGCAGAAAATTTTAATTTAAATTTTAATTTGAAATTAAAATAGTTGCACAGAGGGTTAAATGAAAATCTATACTGCCTTATCTTGTATTATCTTTCTTCTTTTCCTTACTCTCTCCTGGGAAATAAATCAGTTCAACAATTTTGGGGGCACCTGGTGACTCAGTTGGTTGAATGTCCGACTCTTGATTTCTGCTCAGGTCATAATCCCAGAGTCATGGGATCGAGCCCCACATCAGGCTCTGTGCTGAGGATGGAGTCTGCTTGGGATTCTCTCTCTCCCTCTCTCTCTGCCCCTACCCTGCTCATGTGCTCTCTCTGTCACTATCTCTCTCTCTCTCTCTCTCTCTCTAAAATAATAATAATAATAATAATAATAATAATAATAATGATAATAACAAACAATTGTGATAACGGCCAGGATGAACAAAACATAGTCTATGCCCTAAAATGCCCACTGTTGTTTTGTTTTTTTTTTTAATTTTTTTTCAACGTTTTTATTTATTTTTGGGACAGAGAGAGACAGAGCATGAACGGGGGAGGGGCAGAGAGAGAGGGAGACACAGAATCGGAAACAGGCTCCAGGCTCTGAGCGGTCAGCACAGAGCCCGACGCGGGGCTCGAACTCAGGGACTGTGAGATCATGACCTGGCTGAAGTCGGACGCCCAACCGACTGCGCCACCCAGGCGCCCCTAAAATGCCCACTTTTTAAGTGCCACATTAGCTCAAGGTGTGGGCGTCGCTAGGTGGGAAGAGGCATGAGTGTGGTGAACACAGGTCTTCAGATACTCCAATTCTCTCCCTGTTTTCACCCAAAGCGTCACCAAAGTACCTTTCTACGACAAAGCTTTGATCACGGAAACACCTTGATACACATTTTTCACTCCCATTTTGCCCACGAGAAAACCCCACGTTTTTAGGTCCTAAAGTCTCAGGTTGCAGTGGCTTTTGCTTTCCAATCCCCTCCTTGTCTCTTACCCACTGAGCGCCTGCCACACCAGGCCTTTTGCCATATTTGTCACCTGCAAAGTTTTGCTTTCAACGTTCACGTACTGAAATAATTCCCTGCCCTTCATTCTTCCCCCCAAGTGGTTTAACTTCTCATGCCTCAAGGAAGCGACACTGCTCTCCCCACTATGAGACATGGACTCTCCCCCAGGGAGACCCCGTGGCCATGAGCACTTGTCAGTCTTGGCTGCCTGTTTGGGGCAGAGTCAGTCATAGGTCTGAGCTCCGCCCAAGCAGCTCATCAGAGAAGCCTCATCTTGGCCAACATGTAGACCCACACCCGTATTTGTTGTGAGGAGCTCAGTGCACGTTGGCACGTGACGGTCCTGGGACCATGTTTCTCTCTGGATCATCTTCAAATTCTGGTTCTAAAAGTTTCTTGAAATTACATGTCTGTGATTCACTTTTGTGCTATTTAAAAGACCCAAGCGTCCTGCCTCCAACGTGATGAAGATTTCATTACGGGGGGGGGGGGCTGCTATGAGAAAGGAATTGTATGAGCCAGAACCATGTTGAAATCATAAAATTCTCTTCCTCTTTCTAATTCTTTGTTTTAGAGCAGTTCATCCATTGGGAAAGTCCTCCTGGCTTACATGCTTCCTTTAATTATTTGTCTCTAGAAAATTATAAAGGAATTATAAAATCTTAAAATACATGTATGTATGTGTATGTATAGTCTATTACATGCATACTGTACATGGTGCATATTATACATACATGTTTATATATGTAATACATGTGTGTGACAGAATATATAGCATATCTAAAACACACACACACACACACACACACACACACGCACACAAGCTATTACAGTTAGATTCCCCTCCATTTGGCCAACACATTAGTTCATTAGAATCTGACATGTATAATTGATACATACATATCCATTTCTTATGCAGAATGAGAATAATTTTAGTTTAAACCTTGCACATAAATAAGAATTAGTCGCTCCTTGCTTATATACTAAATCACAGGTGTTTCTAACTATTGTGGAGGCCTATATATTGTCACTTTGAGTGAAAAAGTTTATGAAGTTTGAAGTGCTGAAATGCACAGTAATGTTTTACTTGGAGGAGGTGTGTTCTTGCTATTTATATCACCCATGAGATAAATAAAATTGTGTGGTGGGGTCATAATAAACATCTCTATGGTATGTTGCTGACCTGTGTGTAAATCTCAATGAGTTCACGTGAATTTCACCTTGTAATAACAAGTGAACAATTTTAAATTCTTCACCAAACTGGCATGTTTTTAAAACCAAGAATTGTCTTGATCCCTGTACCTATTGTACATGAAACGAAACATCGTTAACTGCTCTTAAATAATGGGGCAGCTTTATGGCTATTCTTGTATTATCCTAATGTAGTTCCAGAAACAAATTTAATATTCAAACAGAGTGGGAACAGTAATGCTATTCCTTTTATTGTGTTTCAAGACACTGAGAAGCGAAATAAAATTGTTTAAGCCACTGAAAACTCTTAGAAAGCCGGGGAAACCAGTTCATGATTTTCTGCAGGAATCTTAGGAGCACGATCCTTGAGAGGAATTGGTACATAGGTGGTGTAAGCCTCCGTGTCTGTGTTTTTTAATAAGCGTTGTGCCACCCACCCCTTTATTTTGCAGTCGTATTCGGACAGTTCGCCTATTTCCAGACGGCACTGAATGATTTGGCAGAATTATTTGATGGGACACACCCACAGGCCAGACTTCTCAGCTCTCTCTCCGGGTCACATTCAGGTAAACATTCAAAGCATTTGATCTTTAATTTTATTTAGACAGCCAGGGTCACTCATTTTAAACTTGTCTTTTTTTCTCTTTTTTAATGAGGGAGAAATGCAATCATCTTTGAATTTGCTTGCCTACTTAATAACATTGTTTCTTCGATATAAAATTTCAACTGTATGTTTATCTCAGATATAAAACCACTGACCATCATTTTACTTACTAAGGTTGTAGGAAATACAATATCCATCTCAAGAACAAAGGAAAATATCTGAAAAGAAGGGATAATAAATGATCTTGTGTGTTCTGTTTTCTATCCTATGTCCCCTAATCTTCCTGGAGATAAGCAGTATCAATATTGTGGTCTCAGTCCTTGCCAACCTTTAAATACGTGCGTATAGAGATTCATCACCCTCCCACAAGTACACGGGTGCATACGTGTATACACATACACAGATGAATGTGTGTGTGTGTAAATGCGCGTAAACGTACGTGGGGCTGCATAAAACGGGATGCTATTTCAAACTCATTTTGTACGCCGCACTTTTATTGAAAATCACATCTGCAGTTCTTTCCCTACGAAAAAGTATATAGACCGAAAGTGATTCATTTCAGTGCTGAACAGGATTCAGTTGATTAGCGCAGCACAATTTAATTAGCCCCTCGTGGATTGGGACCCTGGGCAAACTGCAAGGTTTGTGCAGTCACTGCGTTGTCATCCCTGACCAAAGTCAAGTTGTGCGTGTGGATCACACACTCTTGCCAACCAAGACTAAGTTTGATTATTTCCTGTTTTTCACTGTTGTTAACCAAGGTCCTTAAGACCTATGTCTTGTTCTTTTCTGCCAATGTCCGATGATGGAACATCGAGAAACGCATCAGAAGATACAGATTTATGTTATGTTATGTTATGTTATGTTATGTTATGTTATGTTATGTTGTGTTATGTTGTGTTATGTTATCTTAGAGAAACAGAGATAGAGTCTGAGCGGGGGAGGGGCAGAGAGAAAGGGACACACAGAATCCGAAGCAGGCTCCAGCCTCCTAGCTGTCAGCCCAGAGCCCGATGTGGGGCTCGAACCCACAAACCGTGAGATCATGACCTGAGCCAAAGTCGGAAGCTTAACCGACTGAGCCACCCAGGCGCCCCCAGAAGATACAGATTTAAAGTACTGTTACCTGTTGACAAATTCACCTCTGAAATGCTTATGTCATTCATATGCTCCTTAGTGGCACGTGAGAGAGACCATTCCTGTATAGTGGGTGTACTTTAAAAGGTAAAAATATATTTCATAAATTTATTTTTTCTGAATCTAAATGCTTTAGTATTTTTAAACAAGTTTAGATTCAGATTTTCTTAATTTTCTTAATTGAAGTAAAATCCTAGCAAGTAACTGTCAAATAAAGTTGATTCTGAGCTACTGATAAATCTGATTCTTGTATTTCCCGCTTTGTCAGCTAACAGACTTACGATCAGTGCCTGCTTCAGAAGGAAGCATAAGTGAGATATTGATTAAATCCACATTTTAATAGAACGAACAGGCAAGACCAGTTTTAAAATCTTGATAGAAACAATGCGTCTGGGTCCTAAACCCAAAGGGAGATCTGATAAGAGTACAACAGCTGAGAGTGAAATTCTGAGTTAATAATAGTTATTTTCCAAAATATTTGCCACCACCCCACAGTGTATTCTACGGATCCCACTAATTACCTCTGGTTTTCTTCGTTAGGTGAAACATTGCCATTGGCGACATCAAATCAGATTCTTCTCCGATTCAGTGCAAAGAGTGGTTCATCTGCCCGGGGTTTCCACTTTGTTTACCAAGGTAAGGGTCAAAGGTCACTGAGCACACCGCTCTGCCCTCCCCGACATCAGACATACTGCTGTTTTCAGTTAAAGCACTGGCCATTTCTGCATTGTGTGTTTTTTAATACTTAGGAAATTGAAGGTATTCATATGTTTATAATAAAACGATGTAATAAAAATATCACAATTTTGCCTTCTGACACTTAAATATATACGACATTTCTCCTGCAAAGACACAGTGACACCTCGTTTATCTGGCATCATCAGGAAACACTTACTGATCAAATCCCCTTTGTCTGGCACTGTATACTTTGCAAAAGGATTGCATGTATATTATAGTTTATGTAACTCAGTCAAGTGTCTCATAAGAGTTTAGATTTCAGTACCTGCTTTCGTGAAATACATTTAAAGCACATTTTACAATTACAGATCTTCCCGTAAAAAAGGAAGTCGAAAAGGCAACTTAACGAAATCAAACAAAACCCAAAATACCGTCCGTGCCTCCGTGACTCTAAACACCCATTTTGTCTTATTTGTGTTCTGTTAACTTTTGCACCTTGACACCTTTATATTTATTTCTGAAATTGGAGCTTATTCAAAATGTCCGAGGTTGTGCAAAGTTTCTAAACAATGAGGATTGTTTTGTTTTCTATCTCTAGAGTCTACCTTTGTCTTGTCTGTTCAGTGCATGAACTTGACAAAAATCCATGTCAACTGTTTATACACTTTCAGAAGCACAGAGCGGGTCTTTGGATGTAGGTTGTAATGGCCGTGAAGCTTGAGATGTGAGAGAGATTACCATCTTGGCGGATAAACTGTGTGTTCCAAAACAGGAAGAAAGACTTAGTCTTTCCAGGTCTCAATTTTGCTCGAGGCTACAGAGATTACTCGCCCCTCTTAGCTCTTTTCCTCGGAAGTGGCAAGTGGCCGGGAAGCCCCAAGCGTCAGTCGCTTCTGTCCTTTGCTAAAGACTTTGGAAAACGAGCTTGACATCATAGTGTTTGTAAAAAAAGAAAAAAAAATTACGGAAAATAGCAATCTGTCATTTCACTTACAACTTATTTCTAATACTCTCACGCTGCAAGACCCATGCCCTCAAAATGTTTTCCTAAAATCTATAAACTATAAAATATTTCATCATAAAAACCTCACTGCTCAGGAACAAGATGATGTGTAAAGGAATGAGAAGGAATAGCGCCTTAAGTACACTTTTTAACCTGGAGACATTTAAGCTACTGACATGGACTGTCTTGATAAGGGGCTTTCCTTCCTTTTTGATAAAGATTAGACATCGAATAAAATATCTGAGGCAAATGACCCTAACTCTATCCTACTTACAAATACTGTCCTCAGAAGTCACGACTTTAAAAGGTATGTTTCTTGGCTTCAAGTAACATATCGCCATTAAAATGAATGAAAACAGGAAAGTGGTAAGAAAAGAAAATCATTTATAGGAGGAATATGTTTTCCTTGTCCTTAAGAGTATATAATGACTCTAACACCCTCAATATTTTATAAAGTCTCAATATACCTCCTTTTCTTGCTTTTTGTTCCTATAGTGAGTTTATGCAAAAATTGTCTTTTTATCAAAGCTAAATCCCTTGGAAGCAAAGAACTAGAATCATGAATGCAGTTTATAAATCACTTGAGAACACCTGGGGACGTTTTCAATACATCTGAAAAGTTAAATTGAATATTACTTTCTGAAAGATGCTGGTTACGTGGGAGCCAAGAAATTATTTGAAATCCATTGTATAAAAACTTTCTGAATAGTGCGTTCGAATACCCCTTACGGCTTCATTCTTTCCTGAGTATTAAAGCTTTAAATTGCACGGGGAGTTTCTGCACCTGTTAGAGACATCGGTGGCAAAGTAGGTAGCGAGGTCAGGGTGCAGGGAACCCGGACTTGACCCAGTCATTCCAGCATCACTGCCTCTTGCGCTCCACTCCCCGGCCCTCCCTGCCGCCTGCTTAATAATGAGGCCTAAGTAATGAAGATGTTTCCATCTTTCTGATCCTGTGGAGAAATGGACGTAGACTTTGTTTTACAAAGTGTCCTAATTAATTTATATCTTTGCTGGTTTTCCTTTGCTTTCCACACCCCTTAGAGGCAGAAGGGTCTATTTGAAAGGTCAGAAGTGGGAAAGACAGTGAGTTAGGACCCACGAGCACCCCAAAAGAGGCGAATGGAGGGGATCCCTTCCTAACCCAGTGCTTTAAATACCTGTCCCACATTAGTTTGTCAGTGACGACTCAGTACCTGTGAAGCCCTGCGTCCAGCTGCTTGGTGCTATTGAATTAAACACTCAAGGACGCTATCTACTCGGGGTGGAGGAACTACTTTCCAGGTCACGGGTCCTACAAGCAGTAGTGTGGACGGAGACGGAGAAGACATGGTGCATTTCAGTGACAGGCAGGCACCTTTTACAGCAGGTGGCTCAGGAGTCATTCCTCCTGGGGCCACCTTGCATCCCCCTTGCATTCTGCAACCACACACCTCGGCGATGTGACAGTTGACTCGAGAAGCAAAAGCTGTTGGTAGAACCTACCAGGAACAGACATCTGGAGATTCTCCTGGAGTGTGAGGGTCCCTGGGGCTGTGCTAACATTTCGGTTTCCCAACTGGACCGCTGTTGATGTTTGTCCTACATAAACAAAGTTCCCTGAAGACACGGCAGGAGCACGCCTCGCTTTCCGATGTGAATGCGTTCAAGTGGCTTCTTGGATTTCCTTTCAGGCAACCTGGAGAGGGTGTCCCCTCCCTCCTCCCCCAGCACCCAGCGATTCCTGAGCCCTCCCTCCCTGAGCTCCTAGACCTACACACTGGCAGGACTGCAGTCAGCAAAGGGGATTCTGCACATTTTGATAATCTTTGGCACTCCGCAGAAAATGGATCGCGCATAAAGTCAGTGTATTCTGGGGGCAGCGAGAAAATCAAAATTCATGTCACCCTAAGAAACCCACCATGTGGAACACTCACCTACTGTTCCTCAATAAATTGAGCACAGTCTGGTTCCTCTGGTGTTAGAAGAGCCCTTTTAGTCTATATTATGATGTGCTTATGTTGCATTTGTAGATTTTTTGGGGGCTCCAAATACACACTTTTTTTTCAGGTTTTTTTAATGTTTATTTATTTTTGAGAGAGAGAGAGACAGAGCACGACCAGGGAAGGGGCAGAGAGAGGGAGAAACAGAATCCAAGGCAGGCTCGTGGCTCTGAGCTGTCAGCACAGAGCCCGACGTGGGGCTCGAACTCACGAACAAGATCATGACGTGAGCTAAAGTCTGACCTTGAGCCAAGTGAGCCACCCAGGTGCCCCAAATACACACCTTTTAATAACAGAATCAACCTCAGCAATATTGGAAACGACACAAGAGCCGACGTGCGTGGCCACAGAGACGACTGAGGCAGAGCAGATAAGTCTCCTGTCCTCTCCTGCTTACTCTGAGGCACATGCTAATTTATGGCAGGGTGGTTAAAAACCATCTGCACAACCCCCCCACCCCCGCCATGCTCTGTGTGTGCACGTGACTGAATGCGTCTATATTAAACTCGGCAGTCGACAGTGTCTCATGAGTGTACTACTATTTTTAACTCTCTTATATTTGTGCCTGGCTGTTTGCACAGATCATCCATTTTTCTTGGGTATTTCCATGCAGGATTCAGCACTTCATTAAGTTCTCTCAGAATGAGTCATTCACACCACAGCTAGTAAACCAGGTAGGACATCTTGAATATTTCAGGGGGGAAAGGAGGCCATGTGTTTATATCAAGCTTCCCCTGAGTGCACAACGTACAAGTGTCAGTTGGCCGAGTTTCCGTCTTTCTGGACACATTTGCTGTGTGGACAGCTCCATTCCAGATCCCCATCTGAAGCAGCCTCCCGCTTCCTGGCCTTCTGGCCTCCCGGTCTCCCAGATTCACTAGCTCGGGGCTTTCCTGTCCCAGGGTCTCCTACCTCCTACCTCCTACAGCAAGACTCACTGCCCTTAGCAGTGAAATAAACAGATGAACAACCTGGAAGCAGGAAGCGATTTTTCTGAGTTTGGTCAGAAAGAAATTGACGTGAAAATTTCCACGTGAGGTCCTTCCCAGTTGTTGAAGTACATGTCTTTACTGATTTTCCCCAAACCTCATCTCCTTTTAGATGACATAAATTATAAGGTTTTCCACTTCGAAGAGACTCGCATTTTGTATAAAGAGCTTATAAAATGCATACTTCTTACAAAAAAGACTGAGCAAAAGGTTTTGTTCATAATTCAGTGATGTATGCTTGAATTCACTGACGAGTGATGGCTTGTCGAATCCGATTTTTCAGCTACCCAAACAGAATGATTTTGAGAAATAGAAAATATCCCCCATCACTAAAGAAACAGGCAAGCCAGCCTCCCTTAGACTGGCCAAGTGACTGCTGTGGGCATTCAGGTTTGTTACTAGGTTATTGTCGGTGTCTGGTTTTGTCGTCATACCTGCTCTGAAAGATGAGCGGTGAAGGAGCCGCGTGCGCAGACCTGGGCTGAGCTCTGGCAGTGGCTTTGGGCGAAGGACCCACCACGTGACATTAGGCTCTGGCTTCCCCTCGCGGTGGGTGCTCTGAAAGCCCGAGAGCAGCCCCCAGCCCCCGCACCAGCACAGCGCACCTGCTGCGGCCGTCACTCGTCGTTCAGTACGGCACCTTCTCTCCTGAGCCGACCTCAGTCCCTGTTCGCTTTCCGCTGGGCTGATTCCCCTCTTGCTTCACCGCAGCGTGAAACATTGACTAAAAGATACAGGGTAGTAACCACAGAGGACGGAATTTCTCCCTGATGCTGCCCGAAACATCCAGGTGAAGGGCAGGGACCGGAGGACGGGCCGACAGGGAAAGTGGCTGAATGCTGTTGGATGCTCCCCAGACGGTGCATGGACGTTTGAGGTCGTCTGTGCCTGCTTCGGCCCCACTTTCCAGAGACTTAAAATTGTTCTTCTCCTCACTGGGGAAATTTCTTCCTCTGGAGAACAACCTTCATAATATCACCCAGATGTAGGTGTTGTTCATTTATCTTCGTTTCCTTAAAAAAGGACAACCATGAAGTTCATGAGGAAAGGCTGAATAGTGGCCTGTGTCCGAGTGACCCTTGATGGTGTGTTGTCCCCGTGTACGGGGCCTGGAGTGGCAGTGATGCCCTGGAAAAAGTGCTCGCATATTTATTAAATATTAATGTATTATTAGAAATAGAGGGGCGCCTGGGTGGCGCAGTCGGTTGAGCGTCCGACTTCAGCCAGGTCACGATCTCGCGGTCCGTGAGTTCGAGCCCCGCGTCGGGCTCTGGGCTGATGGCTCGGAGCCTGGAGCCTGTTTCCGATTCTGTGTCTCCCTCTCTCTCTGCCCCTCCCCCGTTCATGCTCTGTCTCTCTCTGTCCCAAAAAAATAAATAAACGTTGAAAAAAAAATTACATTTAGAAATAGAAACGTCACTGTGTTTGAGGCTTCTTAGATAAGCGTGCAGCGTTTGCTATCAGTAGCCGGATGTTTTTCGTGTAATTCAGGACAAGGAGAAAAATTGCCATTGGAGACATTTCTCCATTTTGGTAACAACAGCAGCAAACACTTGCGAACTGACGCCTCCATGGGATGGTCTTTATTTATTTCCTCTTTGGCCCTCATGCTTCTTGTTCAACTGCACCAAAATGCTGAGACATATAAATATGACAAATAGGAATTTTCAGCACTTTTTATTATGATATAGTTATTCTGCATTCTGTTTTTACTTCTAAAAAAGAGCCATTCTGATGTATCATTGTTTCAACTGTAGTGCTCGGTATATAATTTTATTAACTTTGCGTCAGAATCGTCTCCTGACTCCATCTCGTAGACTTGCTTTCTTAGGAGCAGTTACTCAGATGCTGCCTGTCACTGGTCAGGTTCAATGCAAAACCTGATGTCCCCATGTTAGGAAAAGCAGTGTGAACATGGAGCACTGTTTTTCGGGAAAACAAGGACGCGAGCACACTGTCAGAGGGGGGCACCGTTGGATGAAAGAATGCACAGACTGAAGAGGATCCTGGACACAATACATACAAACGGCCTTTAGCTGCAGAGAATAAAAACAGATCATGGAGTTTTCATGCCCATACCTTGTGGATCTGTTTCTCAACGAGTCGTTCTGGAGTAACAGATGTCTCTGCGAGCTGAAGTATATTCCAAACTTTACCCCGTGCCCCTTTTGGGAAGCAGAACAATGTCTCACAGACAGTAGATTCCAGTATACAACCTAACAGACCCCTCACCTCACACTGGAACGAGGCTCACCTGCCCGTGACTGTCAGCCGAAGACCAGACCTCAACGAAAACCACAGCCCAGGGAGACCCTGGGGGTGTCTCAGAAAGGGAGTTCTGGGAGGGGCTGGTTATGGGATTGAGGTTTGTGCCAGGTGATTTGGGACAGGGCTAAAGGCAGTGTGATTTTGCTTTGCCAGAGGGGCTGTTGGGGGCGGAGGGGTGGGCCGTGTGGTTGGCCATCTTGACTTTTATCCAGAGGTGGAAGGAACACGTGTGTTGTTGCAAATGGCAGCATTTATTTCTGTTTTAAGGCTAAACGGTGTTCCATTGTATGGACGTAACACGTTTTCTCTATCCCTTCACCCACTGATGGGACACTTAGGTTGTCTCCACAGCGTGGCTACTGTGAAGAAGGCTGTGGTGGACACGTGGGTGCAGACAGGTCTTTGAGATCCTGATTTCAGTGTTTTGGGGGATATATCCGCAGAAGTGGGATGCATTCGCGGAAGTGCTGGGTCATCCAGTAGTTGTGTTTTTAATTTTGTTATTACATCACAATAGCCGTATTATACTCACTAGACTCTAAGGTCCTTGAGGGTAAGTACAAGTTCTGAGGCACCTCGTTATCATGAGCACAGTGATTTGGGCGCTTAATTAACTTTAACTGCCTGCATATAGTATAGCTCAGGTCTCATAAGGCGCCAATGCTCCTGATGCCGCGTTTAACTCCTCTGAAAGGAGACTATAAGGCGGTCCTTGGGGTTGGTAAGAGGTTGGATGCAGGTACGGAAGTGCTCCCCACATCGTTCCCTCTAGAACCCGCGGAAGGCATTACTGATTTCTGTATTAACATAAACTCGTTCTGGACTCTCTCGACTCCTTTTCCAAGGAAATGGTGGGGCTTCCCCAGGAAGACACCGATGGCCGTGTTGTGTGTTTGCTTCTAGCTGTCCCTCGAACCAGCGATACCCAGTGCAGCTCTGTCCCTGAGCCCAGATACGGACGGAGAATTGGCTCCGAGTTCTCGGCCGGTTCGATTGTTCGATTTGAGTGCAACCCGGGGTACCTCCTTCAGGGCTCCACCGCCATCCGCTGCCAGTCCGTGCCTAACGCGTTAGCACAGTGGAACGACACAATCCCGAGCTGCGTGGGTAAGTGTGCCCGTGGGTGTGACGGCGTGCGTGCTCGCGGGTGTGATGGTGTATCTGCCCGCGGGTGTGATGGTGTGTGTGCTTGTGGGTGTGACGGTGTGCGTGTGTCCACAAGGCGTGACAGCGTGCATGCCCGTGGGTGTGACAGCGTGCGTGCCCGCAGGTGTGACGGTGTGTGTGCCCGTGGGTGTGACAGTGTTTGCGCTCACAGGTGTGACGGTGTGTGTGCTTGTGGGTGTGACGGCATGCGTGTCCACAGGTGTGACAGCGTGCGTGCTTGCGGGTGTGACAGTGCGTGTGCCCGCGGGTGTGGCAACGTGTGTGCCCGCGGGTGTGACAGCGTGCGTATGTCCACAAGGCGTGACAGCGTGCACAAGGCTGTTCCCTCCAGCTTCACAGCTGGACGAAGCAGCTTCCGATGCTCACGTCGAGTGTGCACAGCCTGATCCCGCTCCAGACCTGTTCAAAAAGCAACGTGTTTCCTCTGAAATAGTGGCGGAGCGGCTCCACGCTAAAAGTCACTGTGTCTCATGAAACAACTCATTAGATTCACGAGGATGAAACACGTTTTGTTGTCCAAAACCTATCAAGTACGCCATTAACTCTCAAGCCCTGGGTATAGAGCATCAATTCCTTTTGGGGAAGAATCGTTACAATGTTGATTTGCTGTCTCGTAATGTCGTCTTAATAAATTTGTGCTGATGAAGGCTTGAAAATAACAGGTTAATGCCGCCCGAATACCAATGGCCTTGTTAGTTATAGTTTGTTTGTTTCATGTTGCGTGACAACCTCGAGAGCAGTCGCGATGAAGTCTTGAATTCACTTGTACGTTTTCAGCGTCTCTTCTCCCCGGATTTGCTCATAAATCCCCTTACTCTCATTTGGGGTTGCTTGTCTACATATGGAAGGCAATAGTCTGCAAAGCCCCTTAAATCATCCGGATAAAATTATTCTGAACAGGATTCACTTCTGAGATGTCACTGTCAGGTACAGCCCCTTCTTAGCCTGAAGAGGTTTGCTTTTAGACACCAGATCTGTAAACCTTGGTACTCTGGTAGGCAATAATCAATGATACTGGGAATTGGTAAGAGGATAGACTGAATTTGACCTTGGCCACCACATGCCATTGAAAGGACCATACTCCGTGTCAAATGTCTCTTAATATCTGATCACACAGCAAAGAAACGCTAAGCATGAAATTAATGCTGTCCTTTGCTGTACTTTATTTTTATGAGATACGGTTCTGTCTTTTAGTCCCCTGCAGTGGCAATTTCACTCAGCGCAGAGGTACAATTTTATCCCCCGGCTATCCTGAACCATATGGTAACAACTTAAACTGTATCTGGAAAATCATAGTTACGGAGGGATCAGGAATCCAGGTAAGCCCCTCTAGCCCGGAGCGCCTGAATGCACGGGGCTTGCTTTCTGTGTTTGTTTTCTTGTTTGCGTTGCTTATTTTTAAATACTTAAACCATAACCTGTTTCCCTTTTCTTACTTCTTCTACAACATGTTTCTAATCACATTTCTAAACTTGGGATTAAAAACAATAGATTTGGGGGCTAAAAGCTGCCCAAAGTGCCGTTTGTAGAAATTTGCAAATGTCGCTTCGTGGTTTATTTTGTGGGGTTTCACCTTTCTCTTTGGTGTATGTATTAAGTTTCAAGGAAAAACCCTGCATGATCAGGCAAATTTCTTTAAACCGAAAATACTTAGTGACTGAACACTGTTGTTTGCTAGATTCAAGTGATCAGTTTTGCCACGGAGCAGAACTGGGACTCTCTGGAGATTTACGACGGAGGGGACATGACCGCGCCCAGGCTGGGAAGCTTCTCAGGTACGATGACACCAGTTCCCTCTCGTCTTTGTGAATCAGAATCATCAAACGCTAACGAAATGAGCAACAGCCACAAAACGTTCCATGTAGACGTTTTCCTACAACACTCGTGCACATCCACATTCGCTCATCTAGTGTTGATAGTCTCAGAGCGAGACCACAGGTGAGCCAAGAGACAGCTTTGTTCCCAGTGAGCGGGACTCACGCTGGGGAGGTAGCAGGTAGACGGTGTTTGCATGTGACAGTCTGAGGCCGGGGGACGAGGGACCCAGGGGTAGTAATGGCAGGTAGGGGTGAAGCAAAGAGTAGGTCACAGTTCACAGTTCCTGCGAAGACATGTGCTGAGATCGGGCCGTCCAGGAAATCGTGCTGCAGCTTGGAGCTTCGAGGCCTGAGATCTGTAGTGCTTTGGGATCCGTCAGGTTTGCAGAGCAGCTCCGCCCTTGACAGCAGATGTCACCAGACCTGAAGTGTAGGCAGCCCCCCCTTGCTCTTTCTTCCACCTGCCGGGTCCACGGAAACTGCTTCCGGGTTGGCCTTGGCGTCTCCCTCCTCGCCCTGGCGGTAAGCAGTACTGTCCAGCTCTCTCTTCCCTTTCGTTTCTACTGGGAGGTTATCTTGTTTCCTCCGCCCTGAACAGCACCAACGTATCAAAATTCCCGACAGAGGGGCGCATGGGTGGCCCAGTCCGTAAGCATCTGACTCTTGGTCTTGGCTCGGGTCATGATGTCATGGCTTGTGAGTTCGAGCCCTGTGTTGGGCTCTGTGCTGACAGCGTGGACCCTGCTTAGGATTCTCTCTCTCCCTCTCTCTCTGCCCCTTTCTGGCACTCTCTCTCTCTCTCTCCCTCTCTTCTCTGTCTCTGTCTCCCTCTCTCTCTGCCCCTTTCCGGCGCTCTCTCTCTCTCTCTCTCCCTTTCTTTTTTTTTTTTTCCCCACGTTTATTTATTTTTGGGACAGAGAGAGACAGAGCATGAACGGGAGAGGGGCAGAGAGAGAGGGAGACACAGAATCGGAAACAGGCTCCAGGCTGCCCAGAGCCCGACGCGGGGCTCGAACTCACGGACCGCGAGATCGTGACCTGGCTGAAGTCGGACGCCTAACCGACTGCGCCACCCAGGCGCCCCATCTCTCTCTCCCTTTCTTCTCTGTCTCTGTCTCCCTCTCTCTCTGCCCCTTTCCGGCACTCTCTCTCTCTCTCTCTCTCTCTCTCCCTCTCTTCTCTGTCTCTGTCTGTCTCTCTCTCTCTCAAAGTAAATAAACCTTAAACAAATTTTAAAAATCTTGACAGTAGCTGTTATCAAGATCACCGTCTTCCCTGTCGCCATCATCATCATCACGACCTTTACTGAGCCCTGATAGGGCCAGGCTAACAGAGTCCTAAAAATCGCACTCTGCGCCAAGTGCCGTCCTTGCCCTTGTCTTACAACTGAGGAGCAAAGACCTCCACGTTTCAGAATTAACCAGGATTGCACAGAAAACTAAGAGCTTTTCTAAGAGTGCGACCGGCCCCACAGACTGCTCCTTGTGTGGCCCTGGCCCGAACGACGTCTCCAGCTTATCTCAGCCGCATCGGGAGATACCTCCATCCTGTCACTCAGCAGGCGCCAAAAGAAAAGTGGGTGACGGGCAGGGTGTTTGCGGTGCGCGCCACAGCTGTGATCTTACCACGCGCTTCTTAAATTACTCCAGAGTTGTCTCTGGCTGTCAGCAGATGAAAGCATCTTTTTACGGGGCCATTTAAAGTTTAGTGTGAGACAATGCCAGTAGAAGGTATCTCTCCTCACACGCCACCGGTGTTGGTCTGTCTTTGCATGGTGCATCTTTGGGGACGTTTATGTGCGACTGCCCCTTCCAGACCTGCACGCTTCATCTGCTGTGCTGTCTCCCCTGGAAAGGTTCACGTCCTGCCCCCACCACATAGCGCTTGTCGCAGTTCAGCTTGGCCTGCGACTTTTTACACCGCCTCCTATGTGTCAGTATGATGCAGATATCAGGCACCATGTTTGTTGTTGGGAATAAAAAAGTCTGTCACTAAAAACAACACACTTGCACATCCGTATGCAGACGGCAAAACGTAATAATGTTCATAATCATAATCATATACGCTTTCATCAAATGTTCATAATCATAATCATATACGTTTTCATCATATATAAATATAATGTAACCTAGTAATACCTGTAACTCTTGGCAAAGATGTAATACCACAGGCAGGCGTTGGGTGGCGAAGGAGGTCAAAAGTTGCATTTGCCTAGGATTTGGGGGAACAAACGAAGAAATATCTTAATGGATGGCATAAAATATCTGGGGAAAATTATAACATCTTAACAGATGAGTAAAACATGGGCAGATAAATCCAAGAGAGAAGAAATGCTTCAGGCAGTGAAACCCTGTGGTTTAGTGTGTCTGTCTATTATACAGTGAACCCTTGAACAACATGGGTTTGAACCACAGGGGTCCACTTATACATGGAATTTGTTCAATAAACGGAGAACAAAACGGTAAACATACTTTCTCTTCCTTACGGTTTTCTTGAGTAAAACTTGCTTCCAAGGTATATCTTTTGCGATTTTTTATCTGAAGTTCAAATTTCATCATTCAAATCTATTTTTTATGTATCAACTAATGTACATCAGCCTGGATTAAGCCTTCTCTGGAATAACTACTGTCCCCTGTGTGTGAACTTAGCTTCAGATGTGTGATGTTATATTTCTTAGTTAATATTAGGAATAGGTTGACTTCTCAAAAAGAAGGGTTTAACCTTGAACGAATTTTTCCACCTAATTGTCTGAGGCACGAGTGTGTTGCTGAACACATTTACATACAACGTATGTACATGTTCTTTGTATACAGCAAGGCAGTTGTATGGTTGATTGACCAAGGTTAGCAGGAATGGCTTCCTAAATGATAGTAAAAACGATAATATTAAAAGAAGTAAACACATTGCCTACGTATGTGGCAAAGAAGAACAATACCAATCTTCTCTTTCTTATTTTAGTTTTTGGAATTAGTCAGGAGAACAGAACCTTTTTTTTTTCTGATATTTCACGTGTACAAATTTAAACCTATTAGGTCAATGGATGTAGACGTCAAGATGCATTTCTAACTAAAAATCGGGTTTACTTTTAACAGTAAACAGTGTCGCTAGCTAAATGTGTAGATGTTGGCTACACCTTTCAATTTTTTTTCCAGGTTTCGATTTCAATTCCAGTTAGCTCACATGGAGTGTGATGTTAGTTTCAGGTGTACAATATAGCCATTCAATATAGCATTTGATTCAATATCGCACTTCGGTATAACACCCAGTGCTCATCACAGGTGCCTTCCTTAATCTCCATCATTTAAAACCTATTTGGCATAAATACCATTGCAATGCAATTCTGAGCACGACCACCAGGAGTTGGCACGAACTGCATGGGTCGAAGGCATGGTTTTCCAACTCCCCTGAGACCCCAGTCCCACGCTCAGTGCCCTTGGACCACCCGCCCTTTGACCGACTGGCTAAACACTCAGGGGTTTATCTTAGTTTGAATCATTCTCTTACATAGCTCACAGGACATGAGAAAGCAGTCTGCTAATAAATAAAGTGTATTTTAAAGTAATCATATCAGGAACAGCCAGATGAAGTGACTCATGGAGCGGCATCTGGGAGGGTCTCAAACATGAGCCTTCCGTGTCCTCAGGACGTGTCACTTTCCAGGCACACCAGTGTGTATCACCAACCTGGAAGCTCTGCTGAGCTCTGCTCTCCAGACTTCCCACTGGGTTTTCATTATGGAGGCACGATCCGTTCAGTCCCTGGCTACAAGATTCGATTCGGTCTTCAGCTCCTTACCCCACAGAGGTTGGGAGGTCAGGCTGACATCATCTGGCTCAAAACCCCAAGCCTTAGCTAAGCGCATGGCTGTCCTTCCCACATGCACAGCCACCACCCTACTTTTTGGTACACATGATCATAAGCAGAGCTACCATAAACTCCGGTGTGGTCTAAGGAGCCCACCTGGAATAACAAAGACGGTCCTGTCAGAACAGTCCAAGGGTAGGGGGTTACTGTCTGGATACCAGGAACAAAGAGCAGACAGTTCATTTACTACACAGAACCACGTATTAACAGCGCGAGCAGAGAATCCACCACTATTTTGATTCTTTATCATTCTGAGATGTCACATATAAAAGGAATAACAAAAAACTACTTAGTAAGGTCTTAAGAAAATATAGATGATGTGTAAGTTTTATAACATCGTTCTCTGTCCTCATAATATCTGCCTTTGATCACAGTATTTTATGATACACGTTGGCTCGAGTGATTTTTATAATAGATGTGGTGGCATAGAGGTACCTGAGCCTAAAACATCTCTAAGATAATCGTCGGTACGTAGCCTGTATTCTTTTCTGAAATAGAAATAAGGGTTCGTCATGTGTCAAGGTTGGGATTAAGAAATTCCTCCGAAAAAAATCATCATGGAGTTTGCTGTTGCTATCAACTGTCTTGCAAAATGTAAGATGCAAACTTCTTGTAAAAGTTCTAACCAAAAATGCAAAATGCAGATGTATTGCAAAATCCCTTGCAAAAATGCAAAGATGTAAGCTTTTAAGAAAACTAATATTAAGTTAAATAAAAGCGGGTGAGCAAGCAATGTGATCAAAAGAAAAAGTCATTAATAAATAACATGTGAAGATATAAATCCAGTTTGAAGTCATCTAATTGGAACTAATAACATGATACATTATTTTATATAATGTCTTCTACCAAATTAAAAGAGTCCGTCTGACAATCTTTTCCCATGCACTTAGATTGAACTTCTTTATACTTAAAATCAATTGCATTAAATAATATACAGTGTTATGCCATATGCAAATATATAATAATATTATGATATTGCAGACACACTTCTTTCTGAAGTTAAACAGACCACTTACATCTTGTGGTTTAATATTCCAAGGTTTATGTATTTTTGAGATAACCTGATAATGTTTGAATGGGGGTGATTTGGTTGT